ACTATCCTATTGATAAAAATCTATTGATTTTTTATATTTAATTAACGCTTCGTGTTAGAATATTTCGAGTTCTAATAATTAACACTGAGATATTGAAATTCATTTGTACTAATTGTAGTTAAAAGAAAAAATAAACAAAAAAGGTAAAATTGTAAAGAAAAATGAGACATAAAAACTGCACGATATTGTTATTAATATAAATATGAAAGCTTAATTTTTGTCGAGCTATCGTAATACGCATACGTTCTTATCATTGACCAGTTATTGATAATAAATGTGACAACGAATAGTTTAAATTTTTGTTTTTAAATTGTTTAACAAAATTCAAACAAATTCATTTTGAACAAATCACTATTAATGGATTGTCTGGTTTTATTCTGTTCTAATCTTTAGATGTTATTAACAATTTTGTTGTTAGAGTAATTTTTTCTCAAAGGATAATATCTAATTGCGTTGTATAAATCTCTGATAATCAATGATATTACAGATGTTTATTATTATCTATTAATTTTATAGATGAATTTTTTTATAATCTCCCACGGATGATCATTATTATCATTTTAATTATGTAACGTATGTATATATGTAGATTACGTTTATTATTTGACACTCTAGTTCGCGTGACTTACGAGTTATATTATCTATTTTAATACATAAAGTGATTTGTTTTTTATTCTTTATCTTCGTTATAATTATTTACTTTTCTTTTCTTTTTTTTTATTAATATTAATACTTACTGTTACGAATGTAAGACTGGCCAACACGTCAATCGAATCTCGTCCCGATATCTCGACTATTAAGAAATATATTCTTGTCATATATATACGCATAGGCAGCCATATCAATCATTTTTTGAACGAATCTCGTTATCAGATTGGTATTGTGATCGTTCATCGATAATAATATTATTTTTCTTTTTTTCGACGAAAGTTGAATACGTCAAATTAGGTACAGTTTTATTTAATTATACGTTCAATCGAATATATTTATTTAATCTCTCTTTTAGTATATATAGAATGTTATACATTGTTTATATTTTATCTAACGAACGATAATATTAATGTGATCAACAATTATTGATATGTTTGCATGAAAGAAAATGTTGTTTTCGTTAAATAGTGATATTTTAAGTTGTATTTCTTTCAGGTTTTCTTTACCAGACTCGCTGGTAAAGTGATTTGAGTGATTTAGACATTTTTAAGTATATGTTGTTTAACTTATTTGAGAATATGACATTATGTAATGGGTTTAAGGGATTGGATGCTATTGTAGTTGAATAGTTGAGATAAGACTGTTTGGTTCTTTCATTTAGTAGTAGTTTCTTTACTTTAGTAATAAACTTTTCCTCGGGCTGGTTTTAAATCTATAGAAAATCCTCTATCTCAAAAATAAATGAACCTTCGTTTAAAAAGTAATGAAACGAAGAAACGCATACTTTTCGTTTGCAGGTATACAACTATACAGGTGTTGATAGGAATGTGTCCAGCTGATAATAACCGAAGATAAATTCATCAAAACGATAGCTAACGAAAAATACCTTCCTTATATTTGAAACATATTTCAAACATTCTACATAAAAAAAGCAACGTTCACGTCCAATGGGAAATCCAGTTCTTATATAAATTCTATTTATATGCTTTTCCGAAAACGTTTAGATATTTCAGATAGAACCAAAGGTTTCAACGATTTAAAAGAATTATACAATTTAATTCTGCCATATATATTTTCCTGATTATGAGAATTATAACATGAATAACGAAATAATTAAAATTTTTGTTTAAAGCTTCAGCGAAAAAAGAAATACCGTTTTTTTATTATCTCATACGATTTTATTTTTTCCCAATAAATTTTTTTTTTTTTTACATGGTCGACAGAAGAAATAAGTGGCTTATGGAAAGTATTTGCGTATATTGGTAAATTAAAAGAATATTTTTAAGTTCATGGGATATACGATAAGGCAGACATTTTTTGTTTCATATTTTTTTTATTCTACTCGTTGAGATACATTCAGCAATGAGTGAGAATAAGGATTTTTAACTAATTCAAATTTAGGATTTCTATATACCACAATATTTATTATAAACAAAAATTCTATAGATCATAGAAAAAAAAGGAATCTTAATCTGTATTTTTTTAAATACCCACGATGTCCAATAATTCTTTGAGAGTCCTATTACCAACAATAAGAATTAATTTTCTCTCTGCAACTTCGCTCAATAATTCTCCTGCTTGTTCTGGATGTGCTCGAATAACTTTTGGTCCTTTTTCAGATATCTTTTTACTTACTTCCTCTGAACGTTTTTGGTCATTAAAAAGTCCAGTTACTTTGACCTAAAAAAAAAAAAAAACAAAATTTCAAGCATCGGTGTCAAATAATCTGTATGCTAGTAAGTAATCAATTAATGTTATATCTTATAAATAAATTTTCTAAACGTCAAACTTTGGAGTTTTATAGCTTCATTTGTAAATAACTGATTGAAATTGATAAAAACATACATCAAGAGATTCCACATCAACTGTCGATCTAATACTCGCTATATACGACTTGTTATCTTTAAATCCTAGTCGAATATTGGCAGTAAAATCGACACCACCAAGTGTTGCTCTAAAAATACATTACGTATACAAAAATTAGGTTAAATAATTTAAAAACGTTTTAAATTATACAATGGTTCACATATTCAGCAAAAGATATCAAACGAAAGATCGTTAGAGGATACCAATTGTTAATAATCTAAAGATTTTAAAATATCCTACATTACCATCAAAAAATCTACAAAACGCTTGATAAATAACTTACGTGAAGTCTCCCTTTCCAAAAATCGGATATTTATTAGTTACAAATCCATTAATATCATAATCTGAATTTAGCTCGAGTGTCTCCCAATGAAAACCTAAAACTACTTTTAATCCTACTACGTGGAGTTTACCTTCTTTGACCTGATAATTTGATAGACCGGTCACGTGAAGATCTTGTAAATTAAGGTCAGCCCTTAAAAAATAGAAAATTGTATCCAGTTTAAATAATACATTTTCTAAAACACACATTTTAGAAGACATATCATAATGTTTTTTAAATCTCACAGAAATAGATACTTACTTAAGGAAAGATAAATCAAGGTGATAAGAGTCCTCTTTAACGTTATGTGGATCCAAGACAGGTATTTTGAGAGACTCATTTCCAGTTCTCATAACATACCTAAATCTTTCCAAAAAAGGTTTTAAGTTACTGACATCATATTTTTCTTCCTGTTCGTGTGCGGAAGCAGAAGAACAAATCAAAATCACCGCGAATATTATGGTCGAACGAATCATGTTTCTCTAAAAAAACAATTATAACATATAATTAGATTTATTAGATATTTGAGTAATTTATATATATATAACGTTGCTATTATATTATATATTATGTAGATCGAATTAGTATGTGTATACTTATACACATTTCTTTGAATAATTCCTTAACTTAATGATCTATAATAATATATACATTTAAATACATACAAATATTCGGAAGTAAATTTAAGTATCGATTCATACTTACAGTCTTACGATGTACCAGTTAACAGGACTAGAGAACTATTGAGACAAATATCCATGATGACCGGTTTTATAAATTACTGATATCATAAGTCTAAAGGTAACAATTTTTTTATCAGATTTTTGATTATTAACTATGATTTTATCGAAATTATAACTTCATTATTGTACGTACATATAAATGTTTTGATCAAAATATACATGACAAACTCATTTGTGTGTAGTTGATTAAAAAATAATAGATTATATTCATATTTTTAAGGACTTTGTTATAATCAGATTGTAAAGGGGCAGCAGAAATGCATGATAACATTAGAAACTTGAAGTATAGGTGCTTAACTTCAGTTGAACTATCGTAATATGTATATGTTTTTATCGTTGGCGAGTTATTGATAGTTAATGTGACAACAATTAGTCAAAAATTTTTTTTTTAAATGGTTAACAAAATTAAAACAAATCGCTATTAATGGATTGTCTAGTCTTATTCTGTTCTTATCTTTAGATTTTATCAACAATTTTTTTTGGGGGGCAATTTTGTTCAAAAGATAATATCGAATTGTGTTGTTAAAATCTCTAATAATCGATAATATTACAGATGTTTATTAATATCAATTAATTTTGTAGATGAATTTTTATAATCCCCACTTATTATTATCATTTTAATTATGTAACGTATGTTTATATGTAGATTACGTTTATTATTTTATTATTTTATTATGACTTACGAATTATGTTATCTACTTTATTACATTGTTACTTGTTACTTTTTATTATACATGTTACTAATCGTGTCCACGTTGCTTGACTGTAATAATTTGTTGGAAATTAGTAATCCAACGTGCCTAGACCGTTGACTAATTTGTATTGATTATATAATAGTAAAAGTAACAAATTGTATAATAATCAATATCTTAATATAAAAAATGTAGATTAATTATAAAATTAAGTGTAAAAGTTCAACATATTTACATTATAATTCACTTCTAATGTCAAGTTCCTCGGTAGTATAGTGGTTAGTATCCCCGCCTGTCACGCGGGAGACCGGGGTTCGATTCCCCGCCGGGGAGGAACATATTTTTTTTTTTCTTTACTAGATTTGTTTGCTTTTATTTTTTATCGTTACAATTATTAATATTCTATAATATTTATAATTTTATCCTAGTCTAATTGTAAGAATGGAAAGGTCTGTATATTTTTTGGTGCTTTTTATATTCATGCACGATATATTATAGATGATAGAATAAATAAATCAAATTTTATCCTAATTTCAATTACTATAGATCTTACAATTAATGCATCCTAGTATATGTCAAAGTATATGTAATTTTTAATATACAAGTCTAACAATACAAAAAGATTGTTAATCTGATATGCTTGCTAAACTAAAAGATAAAATTATCACTTATTGATAACAGATTTCCTAAGCGTACTTGGAAATGATAACTCTCTTTCAAATACATGCAACTAGTTAAACTGTAACAAAAGTCTGATTATTAACCATGGGTAACTCTGATTCGAATCATACTCTATCGGAAGAATTAATAGAAGATTACGTTGAATTATCATATTTGACCAAATTTGAAATACTTCAGTAAGTATACTACATTATGCATTTCTGAATGAATCAATATTCCTATTTTATTGTTTAGCATTTTCGACCTTCTTGACAACTTATCACCAGGAATCTTGTGCAACAATTTGCATCATCGCTTTACGAAGAAACAAATAGATAAAATATTACCTCAAGTTTTAGTGAGTAATTGCAATCTAATTTTTTACTTCATCCGATTAACAATATCAATTTAACTATATAACAAAATTTATATGAATTTCGAATAACACCGATATAGATTTCATTTTGTTTAAAAACAAAAGAACTATTATTTGTTTCACTATAAATAATGGAGAATTAATTAATGCAAGTAAAGAAAATGTGATAAATGTACAAATAATGATTGAAAAATTCCCTCTCATTTTTTCAGTACAGTCCATTTCGAGATTCAATATATCGAGTGTTTTCTTCGGAACAAGACGAATGTTTAAGTTTCGAGGATGTTTTAGATCTTTGTTCCGCTTTTTCGAGAAATTGTCCTTTGAACGTTCGTTCAGCCTGGGCATTTCTGATATTCGGTAACGAGTCCAAAATATCTAATATGTTTTTTCGCTTTTTACTTTAATTTTCGCTATTTACAATATTATTTGGTCTCATCTTTCTTCACATTTTGACTGCGCCTTCGAAAAATTGTATAAAAATACAAACATCGTTACAATGTTAAATGATTTTGTTAATTGCAAATAAAAAAGGCAAACTTTTTCTCAATTAATGCGATCGATATAATTCTGTCACATATTTTATAGTAAAATAGACAACATTTTGGAAGTAATTAATAGATTTATTTAAAATTTGCTTACATAAACTCTTCGCGTATTTAATTTTCATTGAATCAATACTATAATTTCATTTATTTTATATATAATAATATTCATGTATTTTTTTTTTTTTGATGAACCATACTTTCTCTAACAATCAGTTATAAAAGAAATTAACTCGCATTCGTTTTCAGATTTCGATGGTGACGATCAGCTCGTAATGGCTGATTTAATTGAAGCTGTCGAGAAATTAACTAGCATTAACGAAAATGAAGGAATCATGATTCAACTTGATCGTGAACGTATCGAACAAGTGGCACGTATGGTAAATCTCTGTAAATGAACATTGATTTCATGGTTTTACATTTTCATAGCATATCTTGTTTAATACCTTCTATGTTAGATTGATTTTCGGTGACTTTTTATGCAAATTGCATTTAAATAGTAAAAATTTCGAACGATCTGAATGGAAAATTCAGAATTGATCGTATTATGATTCACGCAACGTAAACTCTTATTTAAATTAATGAACAAATTTGAACTGTATTATTGAACCATACTTTAAAAATTTCTCATTTAAAAAATATATGATACTAACTATATTTTAATTTCATAGATGATATCTGAAATGGATTTCACCGAAAATGGAAGTATTTCCCCTCAAGAATTTGAACGACTTGTTGCAAGGATGCCAGACTTTGCTCATTCTTTTCAATTTAATGTTTGATAGCAGCAGATAAAATCATTTTATGTAATATCTTTTTTATAATAAGTCAACGCTTATATGCGATACAGTTTGAACGATCGTAAATTCCAGAAAGCACCAAATCGGGTATGCAAGGGATCTCTTTTTTTCTTTCATAAGTCAATGGAAGGATTGCAGGTGTTTTGTATTTTGTATAGGACGTTGGATATTTGGTAAAATACGATGATATCAATGCAGGTGCACACTGATATTTGTATTTGTCTGTTTTGAAAAATTCTAATGGATGTAGATTTGATGAACGATCCTTGTATTGATCACGATGAACTTGTACTACCTTTTTATTTAAAAAAAAAATTAGCACAAGTCTACAACTCATAATGAATAAGATTTTCTAAATAAATTGAATAATTAATAAATAAATACTGTATATAAATTGTCCACTTCTTTCATATGTGCTAAATCTATGGTAGAAATATTATTTTGTGGGATTGTAAGAGAACGAACTCGAGTCTGTAAAGTCATCGTTGGATTTGGTAGTGGAGTGTAGGATTTTTTTGGTACAGTCCAACTGTATGACGGTAACTTTATAAAAAATATTATAATAAATAAAAATATATGAACTACTTTTAGAAAAATAATCATTTCTTAATTTATTAAGCGTTTCAATTGAAATAGGCAATAATTACTAACGATAATTCGTGAAATTTTCTCGTTCCTATAATGTTTGAAGTAACCTTCTATATCAGAACCTTTTAAGGAATCGAATTTTGAAAGATCGGGTCCCATAAACTGCGGCTTTAAAATTGGTGAATAATATGTGTAAAGCGATTTAGACATATTTAAAGTATATTACAGAATAAAGAAGAATTTATTTATTGTTTTATTCGCAAAATTTTCATGTTAATTCTGAAATTTGACATTTGGTAAAATAATTGAATTATGTACAACATGACAATAATTAAAGTCGATATTTTTTCTTGAAAATTAATTCTTTTTTAATGAATCATTATACACGTTATATTTATTATTATATATATATGTAATAAGATTACGTTTAATAATAATAAATAATTACATCAAAAATATATAATATTATAAGTTATTTCAATATCGGCACCTTAATTTACAATGATGTTTTTTATTAACTTTCCATTATTTTTAAATTCTTCATCCGATATAATCACGTAAAATCTATCTAGCATATGCAAAAAAATAAAAAAGGTAACTACACATATACATGTTTAAATTATTATTAAACCTAATTGTAAAAAATAGAATATTGAAATAACTACAGTATCATGAATTAGAATTAAATCTGTAAATCAGTAAATTTTTGATTGTCTTCCTTTGGCTTAGACAAATAATCTTTCATTTTCTGCACTTTAGAACTTGCACTAGGACTAGGAAATTTATCATACTTCGAGTGACCACCAAAACCATCATATGTGATTGGACCACTTTTTGAAGATTCCTATTAAATATAACTTATAATAATATTAATGAAAAATAATAAATTTTCGTTATAAATAAATACATTTAACTTTGTAATAATTAAGAATTATTATTATACTCACAGCAGAATTATGAGATAATCTTGGTTTTTTTTTTAAGATAGAAAATGTTGGTTTTGTAGTTTTTCGTGCTGCGTACCGTTCCTTTAGAGCTAAAATGCCTTGTGATTTGAGAGGAATATCAGGAGAACTTATTTTAGTATCCTATAACAATATTATATTAATTTTGATCACCAACTCTAATTATTAAAAAAATGTTTTTCGATATAAAAAGTTAAACATTCAATCATTTTAATCTGTGAACAGTTCATATATAGAACGTATTGAAATATATTTCATTACCTCCTTCGAGATATTTGTTTTTCTTTTATGAGTGCTCTTCGTATCATTTTTGTTATCCGTTTGATTAGTATCTTTAACTTCTTCTTTAGACGTTTTACTAGAATCTTGATGATTATGTTCTGTTTTCATCGTACGTGATACACATGCTTCAGTACTTCCATTATTTTCAAGATCTTGAAGTTTATTTTGTAATGAAATTTTTTCAGCTTCGCAGACCATTAACTCTGCTTCCAATATTCTAAATACACATATAAATAGAAAGTAAAATATTTATACTAATCTAATGAATTAAATCTAACATACTTCCGCTTATCTCGTTCTTCCAATAAAAAATTACGTTCCATAGAAGTTTTAGTGAGTTCCTGTTGTGTATCTTGCAATTTAGTTCTCAGGTCTCTCCGTTTACTCACACACTTAGCCATTTCCCTAATGTCACCGGAGAGATGATTAAAAATGAGAATTTATAAACATTATGATATATTCTATTCGATATACCTTTTCATTATAGATATATATGTAATAAGAGTACTAGGATCTTTTGTTCTTGAAACCATATCATCAACATCTTCGACAGGAGCATCCATTAAAAGTTGTATGCTTAAAATATAAACGATAAACTTGAAATATTATTAAATTTTCAAAATATGGAAAATAATTCTTTCATAACAAGACAATAATAAACGTACTTTCTCATATCCGTAATTTTCTTTTTCAATCTAGTAGCTTCCTGTTTAAAAGCATCTGCTTCTGAGCATTGTTGTCTAAAATACTTTATTTGCTCTTTCAGCGCATAAATAGCAGTTTCTTTTTCACGTACTTCACTTTCAGCTCTTCTAACTTCGTTTCGCAATTCAGAATTGTGTTGCTTCCACGTTTCACTTTGCTCTTTATAATGTTTGAGATCTTTATCCTTGAGTACAATTTGAAACGTAAGTTTGTCAACTTTTTCTTGTAAGTAAGATGAATCTTCAGCGATGGTGTCATTGTTAGAAAAATTAAAATATATTCTATGTATCTTAGATTTATCAGTTTTCTCTCGACACTGTGGACATGTCTTTGACCTATATGAAAAAAAAATACATAAATATGAAATTATCAAATTATTGAGCAAATAATATTAAAAGAAAAACTATTTAAACGATAAAAAACTGAATGAAGAGATATTACCTTTCTAACCACTTTACTAAACACATAAAGTGAAAAATGTGACCGCATAGTGTATAAAATACATCATCTGATGGTACTAATAAATCACTGCATATAACACAAACAATATTCATTTTATTCCTTAGAATTTACAAAATTAAATTATCTTTTTTAAAAGCAAGACAAGAAGAAAACAAATAAAATCCAAATATTTGTGTTTGGTTATAAATGAAAATAAATAATGAGGTTAATCAAATATCATCATACATCTTAATCATATATTTACATATATTTGATTTCTATTCATTTATCTATAATGTAAATATATATAATATATTTGCAATCTTTAGCACAACAATGATCAAATAAAAAATTCGAAAAGAAAGTAATACTCTTTAACTACTGACAATGCTTGGTATACGAAAACATAGATGGCGATAGCAACAGTTAGAAAAGATGTCATAGTTGTGAATTGTATATTTATAAATTTGATTATATTTGATCTAATTATTTATATAATTAAACATTTTATTAAATTTAAAGGGATATTCAGACGTTAAATATTGACAATATATATATAGAACATTAATTATTATTTCCAGAGTGTGTCGAAAAAAATTATAATTATTTATTCTACAATGTGTGTTTGTGTGTCTTATTATTATTTAACTAATACAAAATATTAATCGTACAACTTCTTCTACCAGCTAATTATTGTTTACAATTTAAGAAATTATTATTTGAATTACATATGTACTAATTTATATATTACATATTATACAAATATAATTAATTTGCAATAATACAGTCATTCCATAATAATACTGCCATGGAAACTAATGAATGTATATATTTTTAAATATTTAGCTCTTGGCCGACAGTAAAAAGATGAAATAAATTTATTATTAAAAAAAAAATGTATATTTATAATAATAAATTTATAATTTAATAACATTATAAATATGTGTACGAAAAATTGTATTTTTATTTTTATTAATCAATCAAATTTGTTTTTTGTTTCCGTTATAAATATTACTATCTAGAAGTGAAAAAAACACTTTATCAAAACAATGAGAATGAAGAAATAATTATAAATTATGAAATCAGTGAAAAAATAAATAGATAAACATGATCATTTCATTTCAATTAATATTTAACATGAAATAACAGACAAATAAAAATGCTAGAAGAAGAGAGATTAATATTAATGCTCAGCTTATTTTAAATCAGTAATGAAATAGCGCAGAAGATATATAATTATGGAAATAAAAACAACCGGTCAAGATAGAATTGTAATATATGTAATTGTTTAAAGTTTGGAATCTTGTTCAGATCCATCAGAAGGATCGAGTTTATCCGGCTGTTTTACTTCAACTTCTATATTAGTTAAGTTCGGTGAACTCCTTGCTTGAGGTATAATGATCTGCAGAGAAGTTGGCACATTATGGACGGTTTTCCGACGAGCCAACAACGAAGGTCTTCTTTCGTCCACTTTCCAGTGAACACCCTTCTTGTCACTGGACCCGCTTGAAGAATGTCTTTGAAGAAGATGCTTAGGATAACTTTCAATGGTTTCTCTGAAATTTGGTAGGTCTATTTCTTCTATTTGTGCATCCGAAGATTCTGCAGTATCCGTTGAAACAAGACGTTCGAATCGATCAACGTCTTTTACATTTTCCGCGGTATCATCGTCTTGGTCCTCGATATACCGATCATCAACATTCTCGTGGAAAAAAGCATTATTGGAAAATCCTTTACGATTTTCTTCATCCTTAGATTCATCAGTGCTTAATGAAACATCCGAAATCGGTGGAACGCATAATATTTGCGGTGCAGTAAATACCGCGGGTGTATCGGTCTCACGAGAACGATTTGTTCGTGATAAATTAGTGGCACTCGGCCAAGGTTGCAACCATATCTTCGAAGCCTTTGTTAATGGAAAGAAAGGCTTTCGATTCGAGTCGATTCGAGGAGTTCCATGCCTAGCCATTGTTGAAAATTTTTTTATAGCACCGGTCAAACGCCGACGTTGTGGCTCACCTTGCTCAATTTCCCCTTGTTGTTCTTGATTATCTAACTGAAGAACCGTTTCACTATCATTACGATCCATCGGTGGAGTTGTTTGAGGGGACCCGCTGATCTGGCTGAAACAAACGAATCTAACTTAATAGAGTTCATATGTACAATTTTAATCTTATGTTAAAGCTTACCCATTGTCCGATAACATCGACAGCAAAAATAAATTTACTTCAATTTCGTTTTCACATACATACGCACATATCAAATTAATTACAAAAAATATATATTCAATAAATTATTTAAACTAATTTCAATCTTACCGCTTTTCAGTCATTGGACTATCAGTGCGTATCGCTAAACTAGCGCTGGACGTACGTGGTGTGCCTCTATGTTCTTCATCTTCTTCTACTATTCCTGGTAAGAACATTGTTTGCTTTTCTTCTGGCACCCTAAACATCGTCAAATTTTTTACCAATCAATATATTATGGTAATTATTTTATCTCTCCTAACTTTCGAAATATAACAATAAACAATTCAACAACCAAAAGAAAACTTACGGCATATCTGCTACGCTGCCACGATAGGTCTTCCTCTTGTACGCTGCTGCTGCTTCGGTGTATGGTAAAATAAGATTTTCCGCATCAAAGTACATGTCTTTTACCAGAGGCGGACACCGATTCATTAAAGTGTCTACTCCCAAATATGACACCTAAAATAAACGCAAATCTTTTGTAAATTTTCAACAAGTAAAATTATTTATCGAAAAACATAATTTTAACCTTGACATGACGATCGATAAGCCAATTCAATTCGAAATCCTCGTCATCGTCGCCGAATGGATTAATCAATTGTTCAGCTACCTGTTAAGAATCAACAATTTAATTTCTGCTTCATTTTATTATTCATATTTTGTCATTACCTTTAATAAACCCATGAAGAAAAAAAATTGCAGTATCGTAAATATAGGACAATACTTGTCGATTTTTAATTGAAACTGTTTTTCATTTCCCTCAATGTGTTGACGACCGACAAGTGCAACGGCAAAGAAACTGTACGTTGCAAGTGTCACAACTTGCGTGTAAACCAAAGGAATGGAAACCCAGTCGTAACTCCATAAGAGTCCACATTTCGAACGAAAATCATTGAATTCCTATAACAAATATTTCAAAAAACTTGTATGCACATTTCGGTATCTAGATTTGAATTACTGTTAATACGATTATAAGAAAAATTAACGAAACAAGAAATCAATTGTAGCCGATAATTAATCGCAAAAGTCATTAAGTCGTGCACGTTTAATTTTGAAAAAACAACAAAGTCATTGCCGTTGAAACGTGACTATCTTGGAGTTTCCAGCCTTTTGACAGAACAAATAATTATATGAATAATAAATTTGTAAATATCATTTTCTACGGAGGTCAAATAAATCGTACTTGATAATTTTCAAGAAATGTCTTCCCATCAATGAAATATGGAGTAAACCAACCTCCATAATAAGTTTTAAACCTTGGGGATCGGGCAATCGATGATTTCGACGTGCTTCCTTCAACAGGTTAATAAACCACGTACACGGAATCCAGTAAGTATTGAATTCGAGACTTGGTACCGATTGAAATAAATCCAATTCCAAGGAAGTCATGAAACCTAAAACAAATTCCAATTATTCAAATAATTAAATAGAACATTTTCTAAGGGGATACTTGACTTTACCGGAATCTACCACGTGATCGAGAGTTGGAAAGCGTCTTTTAACAGCCGAACTAATGGAACGTAATACAAGTATGAGAGAAAGATTTAAATATCTCATGAGACTTCTCCGCAACATTCGACCATATTCATCATCTCCGCTAACGTAAAGCGCAACTAGATGCATAACCCTGGGAAGTAATCGAAGGATTAACTTTAAAAAGAAATGAATTCATTTGAGAACATACTTATCCGGCCAAGGTATCGCGTTGTATTGTTTCCACCATCTGTCAGCTACGTGAGACACGTAAAATCCTAGTACGAAACTAAGTGGAATCAGATTGATGAATGTGTCACAATAAATTACTAATTTCTCAAATTCCCTGTAAAACAAAAATGACAATAGTAAATGTTATATATTATAATTTGAAATTAATTATAAGTGTGTACCTTTTTTGTGCATCGATCAATGCATAACGATAAATAGCCGATAGCGATGCAAACATAATCAAAAAGAGTAGAAGTTCTCTGTAAATTAGTTTGTAGAGGGAACCCCTCCACATAAGCAAAAGTCTGGTAAATCCACCGCTCGTGGAGCTGGCAACTTCGTATTGATAAGAAACGGTCATTTTTTATCCATTTAGAAAAATCTCGTCTACTCACTATCAAATACTCCCTTTTATTTTGCGTATAGTTATTCATACCCCTTTACGATTATACTTAAACTTTAACTATTCGGTCTAAGAATGTTCAAATATAATTATAAGATAATACAATAAGCAGATTAATTATTCATAATAAATTCATTATCTTACATTATCTTACATTTTAAGATTTTGACATTTACACCGTTAGGAATTCAACCATAATAATCGACAATCGTTATAATTGAGCATAGTGCACAAGAATATTTCGGTGCTAACTATTAGTAAAGTAATGTACAGTTCTGCCATTTTATCGTTATTAAATCGTATCGGTAGGCTACCCTTTATCTGTAAAATAACAAATTAAATGATTTTTAATTTATAGAAAATGTCTACGCCTCGCGTTCAACCTACCATTTGCAAATGTATCGCATTTTCTCGAAACATCGAAAATATATCGTGTAGCAATCATGCTATGACCACAGACGGTACATCCTGCACCTTTAATGACAAATCGAAATATACATTTTCTTATGAAACATAAAATATCATTCATTATCGTTGTATTAATTTTATTATTAAATTACATTAATAAAAAGATAGTGTTAGGATGAGAACGGGTACCGCGTTGCTTTTAACAAAATGGAAGCTAAATAATCCTCGTAATAATTTGGTGTACACGTTTTCGCAATTAATCTTAATCTCATTGTAAAATAGATTTTCTAAATTCTATTGGCGTTAATGGGTTTCATTTCTTCGAATATTGAAATTCACAAATATTAAATTTCGAGACAACTAGACATCTTGGAAAGATTTAAACAAGCCATGATCATATCTGATACGAATAACCATTGTTTGAAGATAAAGAAACAATGAAATTTGTCGTTTAACGGACGATTTACAAGTAGATCTATATAAAATAATCTAGAAATAGTCGCGTAGCTCGAAGAAGTGAAATCGGTTAAAACCGGAGAGAACTAGGCCTAGGTCTTTGCGCCAGAGACATACCTTCTTTCTTACATATATGTCTTTTTGTAACGACATCGTTTGTCTTAAAACGTAATATAGCATTTATTTATTGGCTAATAGGTCCTTAAAAGAAAAACACGTTTTTCCACCAAGTAACATTTATAAGAACTTAATAAAGATGTCAATTTAGATTCCTTTTTAGAGATAACTTTATTAAATAAATCAAATAAATGAAATAAATTTAGATATCGTTTAAATGATACAAAAATTAAATTATTGACAATGAATGAATAAGAGTTGATACGACACAAGTATTTTCTTGAATGGAGGATATGATACAAGATGCAAATTATGTCACGAACCAGACATCGTACAAGAAAAGTTTCAACGCCAATGCAAATAATGTTGGCGTGGCTGAAAATCTTTTCGTTTTTTTTTGTTTCTTTTTAATTCTTTTTACAGTCGCGCCGTAAATAATATTAAATATTAGGATTCGCGCCAGTATGCATCGTTGTTGATAAATATAGCTCTACGGTCGTCGAAGTAGCCACTGTCTAAGTAAACAGACAATTTACGAGAAAGATACCCGGACGTAGGTGTTTTAAGGAACGTGCCTTGTCTCGTTCGATTATAATCGTTCATTTTTCTAATATCTTAATGATTCTTTTTTTGTTTTTAAGGAAATTTTCATCTTTCGTCCTGAAATTTGAATTATTCTGATGCTCAAATACAACAAACTTAAAAGAACAATTTTCTCGTTGAATTGTTTTAGATATGTTTAAATAATTTATTATTAATTAATTAAAGAATCGTGTTTCAAAAAAGAAATCTTTCAATTAGCATTAATTATCAGAATTTTGTGTGTTTGAGATTCGTGAACTATTGTCTCTGAAAACACATTTCATCCGTTCATCGTACAAACTACTAACAAATTTATCGTTTTGGCACAAGAGACGTTAGCAGTCACAGAAAGAGGCCTTCAAATTTCTCATGTCTACTCCGTGGCCCGATTTGCTCTCTTTATTATTCTTATTATATATCTCACGTTTCTCTACTCGGATAATAAATAAACGTATAATCTATATGTTCGAATGATTAAACAATTTTTCCCGTAGATTCCTTTGGATAAGTTTTCAGAGTATATATATGTGTGTGTATATGCAGACAAATATGTGTGATAAATTTGTTTCAAACTATTACAAAAGAGATGCATAAATACACATAAGATTTCTAATTTAATCATTTTGTTATCAATCATTTATGATTAATATAATAATAATTAATGAAATTATATTTTAAAAAAAGTGTTATTCTTATAAAAATGTTAGTTAAGAGATTGAATTTTTATTTTATTTTTTTTTTCTAGGTATACTTTTAATGTTATTCCATTTCTTTTCTCGACAAATATAAAATTAATTACTATTATTTTTGTTTGTTTAAATATTAGTATTTCTGATCAGTAAATAACGTGAAACATTATCGGAAAGTGTCCTGTTGACAGATTTATAAAAGTCAACCATTTGCGAACGAGTTGCAGCATCGGAATACAGATTTTCAGACGTATAAACCTTGAAATTAAATATATTTTAAGCTTATGCATATCTAACACTGTGAATTCCTCTGTCCTACGTTTTCATATCGATAATATCATTGAATATAAATAATCAACATTTCCTTATTAGTATGATTAAATACGTGGATAAATATTGGAAAAGAAAATGAAAAGCATCGTTAATTTTTTATCGATATCTCGCGTATGCTTTGAGATTGTACGTGCGAAATTGATAAACAAATTCGAACATTATTCTTATTGTAAATTATTATCATATTGTGAATGAGAGAGAGAGAGAGAGAGACAATAAAAAATAAACGGACATATCCTGTAAAATATCATCGTTTTTTGATTAATTTTAAATAATATGCACTTTTTTTAAAGCTTCTTTGTATAGACAAAAGAAAATATTTACATTCAATTTGTGAAATGTTGAGAATATAAGGTAAAATTGAAGATAGAAAAACGAATAATTCATTAGTGATTTTAATACAAGCCTGTTAATTTTTAAAAGGAGTCGTAATAGAATATTACAAATAATCTTTGCCAATCCAATATTATTATTTCTATTATTAAAAAGAGTCAACATTTAATTACTTAGCTCTTACCGTTCATACCCACGTAGAAAGAAAATCTGTAGACATAGAATACTTTAATTGATCCTTGCTCAGTTATATAATTAACAAATTATTTTCTATTTTTATTCTATAGCAAAATTATTTAATCAAATCCAACATAAAACTGTTCAAATATTTTCTATTAAACGTTCGATTTAAATTTATATTTAAATAATATTTTAAATATTAATAACAATCGTTTCTTATGTCCAATTTCTTAAGTATTGCATGAACGTGTTTAAACGTAATTCATAAGTGTTACACAATCTTTCTTCTTATCTAGATAAATTCACTATGATCTTTTTTCCATCCCAATAAAGGTAACAATGACGTTTATGAGAACTTGCATAGATCATTTGTTGTTTCACTTGAAATCACTCAATTATAGATAAAAATACAATTCTAAGTTATAAACTTAAAGATGTAATAAAGAAATTGACGTAATTATAAATTAATAAATATTGATGAATATATATATATTATCGAACTGCACAATTAAAACATCTCGTCTTTGAAAAAAAAAACTTTCTTAACTTTCGATGCACACCTGACACTCGTCAGTTGAGAACTGCTTCAGTAGTCAGTATCATCCCTTCGGATATGTTTTAACATTGAAGTCTGCTCGATCTCGATCCGATGGCAAGTACCCAAAATCTATTAGAGTTCGAATGTCAAGCTCATGCCGTATATTTTCAAACACAAGTTTCTCATTTAAAATTTTTCTACCAATCTAGCATCTCATTTTGCATTGGATCAAATATTATCGCATCTTTCAAAAGCGCGAAAATATAAAAATTGTTCATTTTCATCATAATAACTACATGTATTCATAATAATAGATTTTTTTTGTCATTCGAATTAAATTTAGAGATATTAGAATTTTATAAACTAAAATATTTATGTTTGTTTAGAATTTAAACTTGAATTTCTATTTAAAAATTGAATTTAAATGTAAGTATTTTGTATTCTTTTTCTACTTTATCGATAGATCGAACAATCGATAGGTCGAACTATCGATAGGTCTGTCGTATCTTAATCATCTCCCGCTAGTAACGCCAGGTCGCAGCACGAACACCAGAGATGTAGCGTATTCAAGAATATTCGGAAATAACTAATTCACTAGGGAAAAATATTAAATGAATATTTTTATTATAAACGGATCAAAAAGGACTTGTACAAAAATATGTAATAAACTTAACAAAATCTTACAGAGGAAAAAGGAGGTAGTGACTAGTTTCACGTCTTTGTTTACTGCTCGTGAGTACCCGTGTGTCTCGCTCGGTGGTTGGAACGGAAGAGAGCGAATAGTAGCGGTTGTTCATCAACGTGGTGTTTTTTTAGTTCTTTTGTTTTGTCACTAGAGGCGTGACGGTAAGAGTGCCGGAGGCGCCAAGCTTTGGCGTGACGGCCCCAGTAAATGCCCAGAAGGAGGAAGATCAGACATTATCAGACCTAGCATCAACAGATAAAAAAAGATCGTGTTTTCTCTTTTTCATAATTATAAAAATCATACACATACATATTATACAAATTGAATATATTTTAAATATAAAAAAAGTATTATTTTCTTTTAGTATTTTAAATTTACATAATATTTTCATCTTTTATTTAAGATTGATTGTGAGTTTTGTATTTTTTAAAACGATGATAATTAAAATGTAATGTCTTTCTTTTAACAATTGCCAAATAAAGTTATCGTAATATAAATTTGTAATAAAGTAAATATACTACTTTCTAAATGTACAAAAAAAATTATCATGTTTTATTCGCCTTTAGATAAGGCTTTAGGGAGCTTTTAGGATCTTTTATTACATGATTGTTTTGTAATCCACAGTGTCATTTAGGTCTTGAGTACACCCTTTTTGTTTTGGGCTCAGACTTCATAGGAGGTGGTGGTTCGCTTCTGACAGCGGCAGACGTGCTTGGCTCAGGACTTCTTGGTCGAAGTTGTCCGATAGGCGTCCATTGAACATCATCAAATCCACTGACAGTTTTATCCATTATGTGTTTAAAGTTATGTATCCCATCTGTTATGGCAGATCTGGACAGTTCTGCTTTCCTATTAATAAGTCTCTGCAATACAACTAATGAATCAACAAATGCCTCCGCTGTAGCCTCAAATTTATTAATAACCAAATCAAGCTTGGCTATCTTCTTTTCCAAATCTAGTTTGGCCGATTGTCCTGACCCAGCTACAGATAAAGTTGCTTGTTCTCTTGCAAATCTGATGGGATCTGCCTTAAAATCATGTCTTTTTAACCGGGCTGTATATAGCATCCTGCCTGCTTTGGTAACGGCATCTTTAGCCTCCATATTAGTAGCCGTGTCAGGTATACAATGGTAGAAATGAGCAAGGGTGAGGGAGTCTGGAGGGTCTATTAATCTAACCCATCTATCATTCCACCAAAGTTCCATAGAGGATTTGAAGGTCTTAGGTGGGATGGTGTGAGGATGGAGCAGAAAATACAATAATGTGTCCCCAATTCTATACTGTTTTGGAGCAGATTCAACATGGGATAGGTGATTTACAAGAGACTCATCACTGTCACTAGGGACAGGTTCTTGGATTTCTGCAATCAGGCGTCTTTCTCTCGAGGATCCTCTTGTCACGCCTCTAGTGCACTCGTCTGGTCTATGACAGGGCAACTCTTCAGGAATCTGAAAAGAATCAAACTCCTTGTTATTCACTTTTACATCATGTTCAGAATCCAGAGCAATAGAAGAACAATGACTCTTGCTCACCTGGACAGAGATAGGATCATCTAATAGGTTATCTTTAGGAGACAAATCCCTTGATGGAACTTTGGAAGGAGGGCTTTTGTCACTAGGGGATTTTGGTTGGGCTTGTTTGGTTCTTGGCCCTTCTGATCCTGCAACAGCAATATCATTTATTAGTCCAGGCAACAAAGGAGAACTTGGAAAATTTAGCGGCCTTGTTAAAATYTGATATAATRGTAATTCGDCGACGCTGAATCGAATGGTGCTAATTTTTTTGCAATTGGATCAGGAGATCTTTGAGAAAAAGGGTGAAAAAGGGTAAAAATGCCATATCTTAGAATCTATGCA